CCCCTGCAGACCATTGATTTCTTAAGTTCTGTGAAGTGGTGCATTTGGGATGCTGAGAGTATAGCTAGAGTCTGAAGTCTTGGAGAGCCAGAAATGGGCTTGCTCTGTCCTTACTGGTTAGATGACCCTTGGGTCAAGTTGTTTCACTTCTCTGGTCCTCAGCTTGACTGTCTATAAAACAAGAATTATAATAGTATCTATGTCAGGGTTGAAGAGATGGCTCAGCGGTTAAGATCACTTACTGCTCTTGGTGAGGACAGGAGTTTGGATCCTTGCACTCACATCTTGTGGCCCACAAGTGCCTGGAACTCCTGTTTCAGAGGATCTGATACCCTCTTCTGGCCTCTTCAGGCACTGCACTCAGATGCACACCCCACCCCCATATATATAAACATAACTAGAAGTAAAATCTTTTCTAAAAAAGTACCAGGCAGATGTGGTGGCTCTTGCCTTTAATCCCAGCAGAGGCAGAGGCAGAAGCAGGAGGATCTCTGTGGGTCTGATGCCAGCAGGTATACATAGTGAGTAACTTCCTAGTGCTGATATTAAAGGTGTGCAGCACCATTACGCCCAATAATAATGTATAATTTATATAGGTGCTGTGAGAATTAATTAAATGATAATTACCAAGGGCAGAGGATGGATGCAACCCATGATAACCACTGTCATTTTAGCAGGTGGCAGCTACTGTTTCTGCCCTTGGGTGCTGAGGTTCAAAGGCTCATGGTCCTAAACTCATAGGTCCTAGGCATTACATTGACAAATGGGGAACTGAGGAGAGTAAATGTGTGAGACAGTAGCAGTAGTGTGGAGAGATGATGAGTCACTTCCTAATCGGGTTTTTTTGTCTTATTGAGACAGGGTCTCTCTGTAGCCCCAGCTGTCCTGGAACTCGCTATGTAGACCAGGCTGGCCTCGAACTCACAAAGATTCGCCTGCCTCTGCCTCCCAAGTGCTGGGATTAAAGGCATGCGCCACCATTTCCAGCTCACTTCCTATTTGTGAGTGTCCTAGTTGGAGCACCGTTAGTTGAAGGAGACCCAGTCACATTCTTAAAGAGGTGAACATCACTCATAACACAGATGCTGGAGATTAACAGACCAAATATGAGTGGCAGACCTGGATCAAGAGGCTTCTAGGAATGAGATACCTGGTTAAACCATTCTCCCTCTCCTCTTCCTCTTCTTTTAAAAAACATATTGACCTGGGTATGGTGACACACGCCTTAATCCCAGCACTTCAGAGGCAGAGACAGGTGGATCTCTGTGAGTTTAAGGCCAGCCTGGTCTACACAGTGAGGTCCAAGAGAGTCAGGGCTACATAGTGAGACCCTGTCTCAAAAGACAAAATTATTTTATTTTTATTTATGTGAATGTGTGTTGGTTTGTGTGCATGAGGTCAGAAGAGGGTGATCCCCTGGCAATGCAGTTCCAGGTGGTTGTGAGCCACATGATGTGGGTGCTAGGACCAAACCTGGGTCCTCTGGAAGAGCAGTCAGTGCTCTTAACCAATGAGGCATCACTCCAGCCTCTCTGATTCCACTTCTTAAGATATGGCCTAACTCTGTGACCCAGGATTGCTTCAAACTCATGGCAACTCTCCTGCCTCAGCCTCCTGATTGCTGAAATTATAGGCATGAACCTCTATTCTAGTTTGCCTTCAATTGCTGTGACAAAACACTCTGACCAATACCAACTTGGGGAGGAAAGGGTTTATTCAGCTTACATCTCCTGGGTCACAGTTCATCAGGGAGCCCAAGGTAGGAATGCAGGGCAGGAACCTGGAGGCAGGAGCTGAAGCACAGGAAACGGAGAAATGCTGTTCTGGCTTCTCTCCTGGCCTGTGCTCTGCCTGCTTTCTTATACTATACAGACAACTTGCCCGGGGGTGGTACTGCCCACAGTGGACTGGGCCCTCCCACATCATTCAAAATCAAGAAAATACCCCATAGGTCGGTCCAATGCAGACAATTCCCCAACGTAGGCTCCCTCTACCCAGGTGTGTCAAGTTGAGAACTAAAGCTATCCAGCATAACCTTTATGTCTTGCTTTTGTTAGCAGACTTTCTCAAGGAGGTTTTTAAGATACATACTCAAAGAACGTGTGCGTAGATGGGAGAGGTTGTAGAAAGTGCTAGTCGAGGCGCTGAAGCACTCGCAATCACAGGCCACGGAATTTTTCCTAACTTTAGTCAGGAATGAGAAGGCACTGTGCTGCCAGGTGCCACTTCAATCTGAAGGGTGTCCAGTTGTAATGGGCAAACATGGGTCTAGAGATCCTACCCACTGACAGACTGGCAGCATGCACAGACTTTTCTCCAGTGCTTTCCCTGGGATTGTTTGGAAGGAGATACAACTACCAAGTTTTAATGTGAAAATAATCATGTATTTTCTAAATACATTGCTTACGAGGCTGGCGTTATAATTCTGAGCCTGCAACACGTGTAAATGAAGCAGCAAAATACACATTTGTACTTGACTGTGGTGGACCTCCACAGAGGTGAGGAAAATTGTTGAGTCAAACAGAAGCACAATAATGTGATTAGCAGATTTGGAAAATCTGCCTGAAGCCGTTGGGTATCTTATCAAGGTTAGTATCCAGACTGTGATACCATTTTGTGATGATATGGCTCGGGAAGAGGAGGCAAAGCAAACAAAGAATTCCTCTGTGTTACTTTTTTAAACGACATGAGAGCTTTTCAGTTCCTTTGACATAAATTTAAATTAAAAAAGTGTATTAGTAATGAAAGATATTTTTGTCTCTTTAAAGTTATGTTTCATAGAAAACGTGCTGCCAGGAGCCATATTCACTTACCCTAGCTATCCACACTTTGGGAATCTTCGGACACAAAACAGGCGCCATTATTTGTCCTGAAGTCCCAACGGAAAGAACGAAGCCCATCCTCCGTGCGGCAACAGATTTGCTCCTTTTCGTGAAGCTGCGTATTACAATCGCCCCAAACTACAAGCATTTTTGTCCTCGACACCCACCATCAACTTTACCCGAGTTTCTGATTTACCAAATCCAGTGTCACGACCGCCAAAGCCAGGGTTGAAATTTTCATTCACATGCACTTTTACCAGAGAGAGATGGAGTGAAGTTGCCGGATGTAGCCTTTTACAGTCGAAGAAGTTTTTATTTATTTATTATTTTATTTAATCGGGTCCATGATTTCTGCAAGGTCCAGCTCGCAGGGACGAGTGAACTTCACTGCCAGAAAGACGGGAGCCAGGAGGAGACTGGCAGGGAGCTCCGATGATCCTTTGCAGGACTGAAGGTCCCCTACCCAGGGCAGCCCGGGACTTGCGCGAGAGCGGTGAACTTGGGAAAAACGAAAGGGAGAGCGGGGAGAAGCCTGGCAGGCGCGTTCCGCCGCCACCAAGTTTCCAGAACAGAAACTTTCCGCCAGGCTGGGAGCCGTGCGTGCGCCCCAGGAGGGAAACTGAGGCCCAGCCGCGGGGGCGTGCACGCTCGCTCCAGATGAGGGAAACTGAGGCCCAGGCTCGAAGTCGCGAGCGCTCTAGAGGAGGGAAATTGAGACCCTGCCATGGGTGTGTGCTCACTCCGGGGGGGTGGAAACTGAGGCCCAGGCGGGGGGGCGCGCACTCCGGAGGAGGGAAACTGAGGCCCAGGCGGGGGGCGCGGAGGCCCAGCCGCGGGGGCGTGCACGCTCGCTCCAGATGAGGGAAACTGAGGCCCAGGCTCGAAGTCGCGAGCGCTCTAGAGGAGGGAAATTGAGACCCTGCCATGGGTGTGTGCTCACTCCGGGGGGGTGGAAACTGAGGCCCAGGCGGGGGGGCGCGCACTCCGGAGGAGGGAAACTGAGGCCCAGGCGGGGGGCGCGCACTCCGGGGAAGGGAAACTGAGGCCCAGGCGGGGGGCGCGCACTCCGGAGGAGGGAAACTGAGGCCCAGGCGGGGGGCGCGCACTCCGGAGGAGGGAAACTGAGGCCCAGGCGGGGGGCGCGCACTCCGGAGGAGGGAAACTGAGGCCCAGGCGGGGGGCGCGCACTCCGGAGGAGGGAAACTGAGGCCCAGGCGGGGGGCGCGCACTCCGGAGGAGGGAAACTGAGGCCCAGGCGGGGGGCGCGCACTCCGGAGGAGGGAAACTGAGGCCCAGGCGGGGGGCGCGCACTCCGGAGGAGGGAAACTGAGGCCCGGGCGGGGGGCGCGCACTCCGGAGGAGGGAAACTGAGGCCCGGGCGGGGGGCGCGCACTCCGGAGGAGGGAAACTGAGGCCCGGGCGGGGGGCGCGCACTCCGGAGGAGGGAAACTGAGGCCCGGGCGGGGGGCGCGCACTCCGGAGGAGGGAAACTGAGGCCCGGGCGGGGGGCGCGCACTCCGGAGGAGGGAAACTGAGGCCCGGGCGGGGGGCGCGCACTCCGGAGGAGGGAAACTGAGGCCCGGGCGGGGGGCGCGCACTCCGGAGGAGGGAAACTGAGGCCCGGGCGGGGGGCGCGCACTCCGGAGGAGGGAAACTGAGGCCCGGGCGGGGGGCGCGCACTCCGGAGGAGGGAAACTGAGGCCCGGGCGGGGGGCGCGCACTCCGGAGGAGGGAAACTGAGGCCCGGGCGGGGGGCGCGCACTCCGGAGGAGGGAAACTGAGGCCCGGGCGGGGGGCGCGCACTCCGGAGGAGGGAAACTGAGGCCCGGGCGGGGGGCGCGCACTCCGGAGGAGGGAAACTGAGGCCCGGGCGGGGGGCGCGCACTCCGGAGGAGGGAAACTGAGGCCCGGGCGGGGGGCGCGCACTCCGGAGGAGGGAAACTGAGGCCCGGGCGGGGGGCGCGCACTCCGGAGGAGGGAAACTGAGGCCCGGGCGGGGGGCGCGCACTCCGGAGGAGGGAAACTGAGGCCCGGGCGGGGGGCGCGCACTCCGGAGGAGGGAACTGTTGCCGCCGCCGCCGCAGTCGCCGCTTCATTGCACATTCAAGTGGAAAATTTTCAGGAGTCAGCAGAAACATTGTGTCCAAAAAAGACTGAGTCGCAGTTACCACCAAACCCAGGAGCAGACTCTCCATGGAAAACTTCCCCTCGGTAGGAAATAACTGGGGGATTTGTTTTTGTTTATTGGAAGAGAAACGATCCCCAGGAGGGCAGGAAAATCAGGGTACACTTTTACCCTTTGTTCGCGGCGGCAACACTTGTTTTCGAAAGTCCAGAGGCCCGTTTTAAAGAAAGTTCAACTTCTAGGAGTTTCTTTAAAAAAAAAATGTATTTATATATGTTAAATCAAAACGAAGACCTTGAGGAACTCATACCTCGCTTATCTTCCCACCAAAATTAAACCCATACCACGGTTTCCCACACTTTTTAATTGTCTTTTTTAAAATGTTTAAAGTTGAATGGTGTCACCCGTATAAAAATATTTATGAAACAATGAAATACCATCCACCAGCGTTTCTCAGGAGGCTTGTTAACTTCCTAGAAGCAAGTGGCTGCCTGTGATTTACAGAAATGAAAATTGACCTTAGTGAGTACTGGGAACTTGCAGACTCGATATTCCAGGAACCAGGAACGTAGAAAGGCCGTATTTTAAAACAGTTGCTTTGGAAGAAGCCCAGGTCCTTGGGGCAAAAAGGTCTATAAAGACGATCAGATTTCAAAACAGTGAAAGAACAATATTTTAAGTACTACAGATCACGTAAAGTAGCCGAAATTGAGTTCTGGACACCCACATGCGTTTCCTCTTCCCCGCCCTGTGGCCTGGGTTGTTTCTGGAAGTTTAGGTGGTCTGGGTGCTTACTTTGGGTGTGCTGGGTGCCTGCAGGTGGTTCTTCGAGTGGACAGATCCTTCCCGTTAGCGAGATGGGATCTTCCCCGAGCCCACGGGTGGCTTGTCTGTGCAAGCCTGCCGAGCCTTGGGTGGGGGCTTGTCTGCCCGAGCCCGGGAAGCTGGGGCTGAAAATAATCCTCCGGCTGTGCTGACGGTGCCGGGGGCTTTTTAGCCTTTCAAAGTTGAGTTTGCGTTTTTCTTTGACTTGCTGGATCTTTCGACCCAGCCACATCAGAATGCTTATAAGGGCCAGACTTAGATCCAACTTTGGTAAGAATCTTTCGTCTTTGGAAGGGACGGTAGACCCAATTACAGCAGGACTCCGGAAAAAACCTTTGTCAACAGCACGATTTTCAGTTGATGATTTTAAGAGGGAAAGGAGTATTTTTCTAATTTCACTATTTCCATAAATGGTCACTAGATATTTTTGTTTAGTATTTTTTGGGATGTATATCTCTGTGTTGGACTTCCAGATTTTCAGCAGTTTACAATTCTTTTATTTGTTGTTGTTATTTAAAAAAAATGAACTGATAAGCTGATTCTGTTACTAGGTCTTGCTGATGTGCCAAGTAGACCATTTTATTTTCACTTTAATGGCAAGTATTGTTTGAGCTGCAGATTTAGGGAAATAATTAGAATACTTTTTCTTAAACCTGTTGGAAACAAAGCCAGGGTGACACTTTGCCTTTACAAAAGAATTAAAAAAAAAATCTTTGTTTAAATTCATCCTCTGTAGAATTCTTCATAAACTCTAGGGAACATTCTGAGATTAATGGAGGTTTTTTTTTTCTTTTAAATTTATTTTGCACAAGCAAAAACAGGGTTCATCAGGACATCTATGTATATGACATTTAATTTGGAGTAGGCAAACAGCCCAGCATAATTTGAACCAGGCTGAAAAGACCAACTAAGTGGCTCTTGGCCCTGTGGTTATATATAGTGCTTTGCACAGCAAACTGTGACATGTGAGGGTGGACTTGCAAAGGCAGTATCTTGCCCTTTCCCGGCCTCCCCCCTTTTTTGTATATAGCAGGCATCATATGTTCATGTACTTAGGAAGCAGGCATCCTTTTATTTAGGAAGCGGAAAAATGGTCTTAAGGCAAAAATACTCGATTTTTTTTTTCTTTGCTTGAGTTCAGTGCATAAACAGTTTTGATTTTAGTTGGTTCTGACAGTACACAGCAGTCAGTGTAAGAGGGCGTTTCTTCATGGGCATATTTGAGAGGAATACCCTTGTCGTGTAGCATTGATGTCTAGACTGCGTTTGGCATCTTGTGATCAATGGAAAAGTAGAGAGAAGGAGCAGGAGAATGCAGGTCCCATGTGTGAGCCAGGCCTTTGAAGATAGCTCTGCTCTTAGCAATAGCTTGTTGCGCGGGAAGAGGATGGATCTCTCCTCCATGGAGGGTTGTACAAGAGTCTGGGCATCTGTGGGATTACTTTCCTCTCTAATCTCATGTGTTACTACGTGTTAATTGTAAGCATAATTATACTGCTTGCAAATGGAAATTGTGATGATGTCTTATCACTCAAAAGGTCGGTACAGATAACTGTATGATCCGGTGGACTTAAAAATAATGACCATATTTACACAGAGAAAGTAGGCCTATCACTCTGAAGCTACCATTGTGGGTACTTACTACTTGGTCCTGTTCCCAATAAAGAGAGTGTGAAAGGAGGAAAAAAATGTATTTTTTCCCCAGTACAAGCTGTGTTGAATCTGTTTAGTGGTAAAACTTTTAGAATCTCTTTTATCCAGAGGCTTAAAAAAATAGTGGCCAAAGCAAGTGCCCAGCTTTCTCCCTTTTTAACAGCGAGAAATCAGCCGTCCTTTCTGTTAATCAATGCAAGCATTGCAGCTTCTCTTTTGGAGTTCAGTGACTGGAACTGCAGACTGCTAATGTCCTACTTCTGAACTCAGCAAGAAAACTATATTGTAGGCTAACCCAACACAGGCTGTGCCTCAGGGCTGCCTGGCGACGGACATGGCTGGGACCATGCTTTATAGCTGCATGCTGCCTTTTCTTATTTTAACTGTGGAGGCTTCAGATCACTTGGCCATATTTAAATTAGAGCCTAAGTTTTGTTTGACCTACAGTAAAAGTGATATATAATTTCGTATTCATCAAGTGATAGAATCAATTCAGGTCTATGCTAGCAGTTACTGTCTTGGGGTTGGGCTTTTTGACAGACACCTCATTTAGAGCCTGTTGTGTGGCAGCTGCTGTGGGTACTTGAACGGGGATGCTCCATCTTTCTGTCTTCTAGGATACAGTATGTGGTGCTAGAGTATCTGGCTTTCCATTTTGGGAGGGTTGTGTGGGTTTTTGTTCAGTTTCAGAGCTGTGAACTATTGGGTCCTCAGTCCTGTAAGCTTCTCCTTTATGAGCTTCCTAGATTCTGTTTCATGCTGGAACTTAAGGTTGAACTGTGATCATTTCTTTGGAAATGTTCTTTTGTTCATCTTTCTTATAGTTGGGATTCTCTAAGGATGGTATCCGAGGTCTGGGAGTGGTGATGACTGACGTGCACTGGTCTCTCTGATTGGATAATAGAGGTGGGGGGGGTCCTCCTGAGAAGCTGTCCTTTTTAAAAATTTTGTGACCGCCCTTCTTCTTTTAAAAACCAGTATTTGTAGTGTCTTGATACACCCTTTACATGGTTCACATTAATTTCTTTTTAAACTTTTTTTTTTTTTGTCTTTTTTTTTTTCGAGACAGGGTCTCCCTGTAGCCCCAGCTGTCCTGGAACTCACTATTGTAGGCCAGGCCGGCCTTGAACTCACAGAGATGTGCCTGCCTCTGCCTCCTGAGTGCTGGGATTAAAGGTGTACTCCACCACGCTCGGCATCTTTTTAAACTTTTAAAAAAATATTTATTATTTTTATTTTATGTGTATGCATGTATTGCCTGCATGTAGGTAAGTACACCTGTGTCTTGCAGTGCCCTTGGAGGTCAGAAGAGGCTGTCAGATCCCATGGGACTGGAGTTATGGACAGTTGTTAGCTGCCATGTGGGTGCTGGGGTTTGAACCCGAGTCTTCTGAAAGAACAACCAGTGTTCTTAACCCCTGAGCCATCTCTTCAGCCCCCCACATTAATTTTTAAGCCTGTTTTAAGAGTTCATTAGCTTTTTTTTTTTTTGAAACAGGGCCAGATTTTGAAACTGGCTTTGAGCTTATTATATAGCCAAGGATGACCCTGAACTCCTGATTCTTCTGCTTCTATCTTCCAAGTGCTAGGATTATAAGCATGTGCCACCATCCATGCTGAGTTTATACCGTGCTTGGGTCGGAACCCCAGGCCTCATGCATGATAGGCAACTACTCTTTAACAAAACTGAGCCACACCTCCCGCCCTGTATTAACATTTATAATTGGAAAAGACAGGGTCTTGGAAAATGAGCTTAGAAGAAAAAACTAAGTCGATGAGGAACAAGTTAAGCATCCGTGCTCTCCAGGGGGCTTTTCCTGGTGGCTTCTGGACATCTGACAGATTTCGATGTGTGTGCAAGGTGACTGCAGATCTGTGGCCTGGGCACACACAACAATGGCCCACACTGTGTTTACTGATAGGTAAACTGAAAAACTGCTGCTTAATGGTGGGAAATGTTAATTATGTGAGAACATATTGAACTTATATTCTTTGGCATGAACTTTAAAAAAAATGCATCAACTGTGTGCCTTTTTTAATAGGCACAGCTTTCTAATTATCATAACTCAGTTCAGCTATGCTCTTGGATGGAGTTCAAGTGTAATCTCAATTTTACTTGAAAGGAGATTTAAAAAAAAAAACCTGAGAATCTTTAGGAAATTTGAGAAGTTCATCCAAGAATGTTTTCTGCTTAGCTGTTGGACATTGGGGGGAATGTAGCAAGTACTTGTCTGCAGTAGTTCATAGCCTCGGTGTCAGGGAGAGACATCTGCCCCTTTTTGCTTTGCACTACATCCAGACTCGTATCTTGTGTAGCTTTTGCACCACCTGATGCTGTAGCTGTTCTCATTGAAAACAAACCAGTGTCTTTTCTCTAACAGGTAGTAAACTAGATTAAGTGAGTATTTTATGGCCACCTTCAAAGACAGGAAAATCTCTAAGAGAATAGGAAGACCCGCAGAATGCTTATGAATTCATTTGACAAAGATCTTGGTCAGCCTTTTATACCAACCCAGCCATTAGAAGGTGATAGCTCTTCACACTATGACTTCTTGATGGTATTCTGACAACTTCCGTTCCACTGCATGTATCCTACAGTTTTTCTGTG